AAGACAATAGTATTGTTAAAATTTAAGATTATTAAATTCTTGTCGGAAGATTATAAATTGTTGCGTATATACGAAACAATGAACGCGTTAATTTGAGTATATAAGCTTTGATTTGACACTACTTTTTTTTCCGTGTATGCTCCCGTGTTATTTCAGCCATTAACTTCGGATACAATAACATGTAAAAATTATTCTTAATGAATTAATAGAATAATGAATAATTATAATCTATTTTGTTTCATAAGCTCATGTTATATGTTAAAATATATATGTATATATACATATTATGCATATATTAAAATTATGTATAATTGTTATTTTCAGAATTAGTGGCGCAGGACAACACGACATTGGTGTTTCCTCAAGATGTAGTTATCGATAATGACGCTCGAAAAGTATACGTACTTTCTAACAATTTGCAAAAATTCCTAACTGGCCGCTTCAATTCGTCTGAGACGAACTTCTTTATCACTTCGGCTGATCTCGAAACATTAACGTCTCTGTGCAGAGAATCGTCATAATCGAGCTAATTAAAATAAACTTTTTGAATCCAATTATACATAATGTAACATACAATGATGTAGTAATTGAAGCCTCTACAACAGACTGTATTTTATATTTATATTAATTAAGACACATAAATGCTTTAAGTGTTTACATAATTTTTATCTTAACATCTTTGAATCTATACTTATAAATAAAGATTTGTCTTAATCAAACATTATCTTTTAAATCTCTACTGTAATTGATTTCTCTCTTATTTAATTAAATTTTTAAATATATAGAGAAAAGACTATCATAGTTTTATAAATATTTCAGAGACAGTAGAATTCTTCTGACACAAATAAGATAAAATATATATGGTATAAAATTGTCATTCTTTTTCCGATTCTCTCTAACGAAATGATGCAGAATAAACATACGTCTGACTTACATTTTAAACATAAAAATCGTAAAAAAAAGTCTAGAAAAAAGGGACCGATTCATTACGGTGCGACATGTAATAAATAATAGACGCGGGTCATTCGAAAATCGATCGTTCGCGAGAATTGGAACGCGCTATCAATTAGAAGGAGCGTATTTTCGACGCGGCGCCGACGGACGTTGCGGAATTGAAATTTCAGCGCGTCATTTTAAAATAACCGTCAGCTATGTCTCCGACTAGTCAATCCCTTGATAATTCAAGGAACTTTTAACTGCAACCTTTATAACTCCCGCGGCAGCTTCCGCCTCTCCCTGCCCCGTTGAAACCATCCTAGAAGCGCTACTTTCTTCCGCCCCCTTTACGACTGGTCTACTCTCTCTTTACGGAGCTGTACATCTTAAATAATTGATCCTAACGTAGTTGCCGGTGTTTTTATAACTGTTTTACCGCCCGCTCTCGCCGCCGTGATATGCATTATTTAGCCGCGACGGTTTTTAAAGCGAAGTCGCCGGGGCGCGAAAGGTGCGAAAAGACCGAAGGCCTATTCAAAGCCGCATCTGCAGAATTAAAATGTATGCCAGCGGAGTCGCGCGACTCGCTACCGACATTCAATTAAACTGCCGGATTTCGCACGGCGCCATTAACGCGAGCGGCGGGATGGGCGCGCGAGAGTAATCTCTTAGCGGAATAAGAATGGCAATTGCGTTCGCGCCTTTATAACCGGTCTTCACCGGATTATAGCTCTGTAGAGCTCTAAGAGTCTCTGTTCACGCTCGGTTTTTGGTACAACCGATGATAAGGCAGCCACGACTGGGTTTTGATAAATCAAATTATGCAAAAGTATAACAATACAATTTTTGTCAAACAATTCATGTATATTTTCTTTGTCTCCCCCTCTTACTTTTTTTATTTTATATTTTTTCCGCCGAGTAATACGCCTTTATATAAATAATTCGCAAGTCACGAGAGCAGCCATATCGCGCTCGATTCACGTAGTCGTCTGTATAAACAATACGTATATCCCGCCGCGCATTTTACAGCTACTCGCATCCGAAAAAGACTTGTTTCCACGTGCCCCCGAATTTCTGTTCCGCCGCTCAAATATTCACGATTTGTCAGCTCCCCTAAATTATTCATCTCCCGCAGGTATCTTTGTTATCTCGCCGATAAGTCGAAGGATGAAGGACGAATGGATTCCGACAGGAGTCGCCGCTTCCTGCTCGCGTACTGCCTTTCCATCCTCTCCCCATCCGCCGTGCCTAAGAACGAAGGTGTAGAATGCAGAATGCAACGTCGTGCTCTTGCAGAGAGCACTTTGACACAGCCCCACGGGTACATTACTAGGATTGCTGCCACCAATTGAACTCCCCCAACTTGCCGCGAGTGAGAGAGAGAGAGAGAAAAAGAGAGAGGGAGGGGGACCTCCCCGCGGCTCCCGACTCCCTTATATCTGCAAACACAGCCGCCCGAGGCGACACCGCCGTTCAAACACTCAATCGCTCGATTCACAACGCCGAAGTAACATGAAATTCTCCATTGTTAACGTTATTTGACTTATCCGCGCGCTGATGCCGGCGCGCTGATCTCCATAATAGGTAATAATATCGTGAAAGGATTCATATTGTTCGCTTAAGTTCCCCGAGCACCATGATTAAGGCCCGTGCGCCGCGCAACGCTGTCGACGGCTCGCAGATTTCTTCGGGAACGACACGAGGAAATTTAGAACGAAATATTTCATGTGCAATTTGCGAGTTTAAATTTAAAAATTTGATTTGAGATATTTTTTCCTCCTTATGTTTTCTCTGTAAGATTTGACAGAGAATTATTATATCAGAAAATCCGATAAATTATAAGAAATATGTTACATGAATACCGCACGCTAAATTGACATTTGATATTTTGATATTGTAAATGAATCAATACTAAACCAATGCTCTAGTTTTTATTTTGTTTCTTTTATTCATCTTGTGACGGATATTTTGTGCACTTTCAACTAAAGATTGTTTAATACGAACATGACTGGCGACTGTGCACGTTAAAATCTTACCGAAAATTCTGTCTGTTACTCCTGGATACGTTTAACACCTTTCAATTCGCGAGTCAGAATCATGGATTCTCGATGCAACATTAAAACTGAAAAATATATCTGTGACAAAACTTTACACTATTTGTGCCGATACTCTGACAATAACATCTGGCATTTTATACTAATTTTTTATGGCTAAACTTATAAAAGTGCACATACTTTTTGTCTGCTGTTTGATTCAATAATTTATGGAAACGCTTGTTTTTCTCTTGATAAATAGATTTCAAATTTAATTCAGTTTTCTTTATAAAAGTAAAATTAAGCAGTATCTAAATAGCGGTATAATGCAAATTAAGACGAGTATTTAAGAATTATAAGTTGAAGTTGTTTCAAAATTGTGCACTTCATGTATAATAAGAGCCAGATACCTTTACAAAGTATTATATTTTTTTTTATTTTTTTTCAGGTCTGTTGCATTCCACGTACCGTGTGAACGCTATCTTGCGAAATGTTCAGTCCCATGTGTATGGCGCAGGCGCTACTTTGTGCGTCATTTATGAATATTTATAAAGTTTCGCGTAAAATTTTCATAAAGGATATATGTACATTTCTTACAATTCTGTTAAGTAACATTATATCTAACTGCAAATTACGAACACTCGGTTTCCGCGTGTAAGAAAATTATGTAAATACGTTTGCTTTGTCACGTATGAAAACTACTTAGAGGAGTATTCATGAAATCTAATTTGGCCAGTTAACAGATAAAAAAATATTTTTGAAATTTTTCCTCGTGGTATCTATTTGTCTGTTTAATTCATACAAATTAAATAAATATTGTTCAGGTTTTATTCTTTCATTCTAGTTATAAAACATATCCCTTTCAGAGACACGCATAAAAAGATAAGCATTTTTCTAACTATACATCTCCAACGTGCACTTATACAAATGATCTCTCGAAACTCACAAGTTATCGTAGCAGTTTCATTTTTCATTTATCTTAAAATAAAGTAATTAGCGAAAAATGATTTTAAAAAAAATGGCTGCAGAGAAGCGATTAAAAAGATCAATAAAAGTATGTTTCAAAGGTGTGTAGACATCATCCGGAAGTTAAGAAATTCTAACAAGCTAGCGACATTGCAATCTTTCTCGAATGTTTACAAAACACTTTTTGTTTTTGAAAAAATAAGAAATTGGCATTTGTGCGAATTAAAAAATATAAAAGATTCACTTTGCAGGCGTAAAAATCGCCACAAAATTTCACAGATCGCGAAATTCTTCTACTGACCGCTCATCTTCGCGGACACCGCATATTTGTGCGCGCGCGCGCGCGCGCGCGTGCGACAGGGAAACACCCCCGCATATACGACCGATTACACGTCATCGAAATCCACGATCTGGGGTCTCAGGTAGCGATCGTCGGACAGATATATCCGCTAATACACGGCTTCTCGCGCCCATAGTACCACTTTATACGACCGAAATTCCCAGTAAGATGCAGGAGGACACCGGCGTAAGGGGAAGGGAGGAATTCGTAATACGGAGGGCCGCTCTACGACTCCACTGGGAGGAATTCCGGGGTACGTTTTAAATTGCTGCATCCCCAACCTTCTTGTTTATGTATGCTACCGTGTTTCTTATTCTTGTGCGGCAGCGAAGGAGAGCGCGCGCCCCCCTAACTTTATGTGCACAGTGCCGACATAAGTATGCAATCTATGCGTCGGTGTGGCCCGGCCGCGGCTGTGTAAGTTGTGTACGTATGTGTACGTATATACATGTGTTTGTGTGTATGCGTGAAAGCGGCACGACTGTATCCCGAGGAAAACGTGCCACACACGCGTAACGTCGCGCGCACACGTACGTGTGTATTGTATGGCGAAACGTGGCCCTATGTTTTCTCCCGCCGTGTATTTGGACTCCCTACGATCCGCGCGTTTCCTCCCGTGGATTCTTTTCGTGTTTCGAACAGCCTCAGACTCTCTTCCTTCGTATTTCCACCCTCGCTGCCGCTGCCACCACCGCCACCGCCACCACCAGCGGCGCGCACTCTTTCGCGTTCCTATCTCTCCGCCACAATTGCTGTAATCTACGATCTAGGGCGGTGGATTTAACCGTGGATCTCAGCCACGGTAATTTGTAAAGTTTTTAATATTGCAGAGTCAGCCGACCGTGCGAAAATGCTTCGCCAAAAACGACGATTGAAGGATGACTTGTGTTAGATTCGAGCATTCATAGAGTTAGCTTAATAACGTTGAACTATTTAATAAATTAACATGATTTAATATTTTATAATAATAATTTAATTTGTAATTTTAATAAAACAATTTGTTATTTTGTATAATTTATAACAATGTCGACTCTTTTAGTTACCAATCATTCATGCAAGAAGTCATTCTTGCGGCTGAAATTTGTTAGAAGTTTGTAGAGTTTTTAGACTCTTTTAATGTTATGCCCGATAAAATTACTATGAATTTAGATAATAGTAATTCTCGCACTACTACCTGTCAAAACAATGTGTATTTTTCAAATAGGAATAAAATCATTCTTTTTATATTATAATATAATATAATGATTCAATAAATTCTAACAATATATTTTCTATAATTGGCGAAAGTATTATCGAAGAAATTGCAAAAGATATTAATAATAGATGAATTCGACTGATGATCTGCCGACAATATATTAATAAGGAAGATTGCGATATATATATATATATACACACACAACATTATTGA